CCCCCCCGCAATATCCTCCCTTACTCCTCCCTATGCTCTTTCGCTCTTTCTGCCCGGAAAAATCATCTCACTGCCATTTCCAAGCTCATCGCACTGTCAGGGGTGGTCACCCCGTATTTTTACTGCACCCTTTTAAAATGCTCCTCGAGTCTTTTCGTCGCGTCGTAAAATTCTCATAGAGCAATTTTAGTTTTTCAACTTGTGCCTCTACTTTATATTAATACAATATGTTGGCATTACTCGATCGTATATCACGTAGAGTTAGTGTAATTTTTAAATATCCATTTTATACGGTTTTTAAGCGAATTTTTTTTCATTAGTGAAACTTAAGGAAAACAAATAATAAGGGATGTAGATCTGACATACAGGGTGTTATCGGAGGGTGGTGAAATGAATAGAAAAAAATGAGCACCATCGTACACGCACTGCCCATCAAAACATGTGTGGAGATGGAGGTTAATAATGTAATCCACGTTATTTTCATATCGGACCGGACTCGTGGGTTCCCGTTTCGTACGGAGATCATGTGGGAAACATTTATGACGTCGTAACTCGTTTAACTGGGTGGGTTACCACGTGGACACCAGGTGCCCCTTTTAAGAATCTTATTACTGGACGGTCGATTTTCCATTCGGAATTTTTCGATCAGTACGTCCCATACGTGAATTTTGCAAAATTTTACACATGTCTTTTAACACGATACCAAAAGCATCCCTAGTCTATTTATACTGTATTCACCGTCAGGGAATACGCGTCTTGGCTGATTTTATCAGATTCGACGAAATGGCTGCCACTGACAAGGATAAGTGGCCCGTAGTAGATCCTAGTTTTGATTCACCTCGCAACACCCTCACAGGTCAGACGTCTGACGGCGGGTAATTGTTCTCTTGTCTGGTTCGCACGGTTCTTTCTACTTCGGCTCGCTGCCGATAGAACCAACAGCCACAATCCAAGGATTGCCTTCGCGTCAAGAATGCATAAACAGTCTCCTCTTACTGATCGGATTGCGTGACTTCAAATGTTGCCAACGGTTCCAGCAAGGGAGTAGAAAATGGAAATAGGGGAAGGTAAGGTTTTTCAAGAAAACTGCTGACTCAAGTAACTACCCTACATCGGTACCATATATACAGTACTACGGTACGGGTTATTTGGACAAGTCAAAATAACAAAATTAATTTTTAAAAAATTTGAAAATTTTCAACATAGACCAAAACCAATCCCAACCCAGACGTATGTGACGTCCCCGTACAGTGTACACGTGAATCTTCCTAACTCGTATATTTCAGAGGGGAAAATATGACGTGGCTCAAGAACCAATCAGCGAGGCTCAGATCCCATGACAAATGATTCTTTTTGCGATATCCCACTGGTTCTGGTACATCGTCAGGGATATCCCGTCATTTCCAATGGGTTATTAATGACCCGAGCAGATTTCGTTATGACGGATACACAATTTGTACATAGATAGTGACAAGTTGTCTGTCTAACTCATCCCTCGTTTTCACCTGTGCCAATACAAATTCGCATATCCCATTTAGCCGTTGTTCCGTCATGATTCCAGACATCAACCTGCCGTCATTTTACTCATGAAATTGGCACACTTGCAATCATTTCGTACGAACGGAGTTTCGTCCCACGCGACTTCTGACGTGTGACACGCAGCGAGATTGGCGCTCCTGGGAGACACCTCATTCAATTAGCCACTCAGTTACTCGCATCACATCGCATTTACCCCGGCAGCGACCGCCTCCCAGGCGGCGAACACTCCAACCCCCTTTAACGGGGTCCAAATCCATCCTCGCTAACCTCCGCTCACCCCTAACTCCGCACGTCATTCGCGTGATTTAAACTTTCACAGCAATGAAATACGACGTGTCTCGTTGCTTCTATCACTGTTGTCCGAGGGTAGGTACAGTTTGGTACAATGCATATATGCATAAGAAACAGCTACGTAAGAATGGACTACCTTGGCCAGGGCTGGGGAGTATGTTAAATCACATGCATCACACGCCAATGCAAGCTCGCCGAAGGGCTGAAACTGCCGCCGTTGCGGAATTACTCGACAGCCTCCCAGGGGGCTGAACTTGTCCGCGACAATTTCAAACTTATTTTAACATTCATATAACCCCGTTCAACCCCCTCAGACCGACGTCGCTCTGTCCCTTTTCGTCGTAACATGAGAACTAACCCCTACGTCTCTCTACGCTTTCCTCTTGGATACGTATAAGGGTCTGCTAGGCATAAGGGTTACAGATTTACATAAGATTATGGGTAAGCCTTGCGTACCTTGTGCGGGATTCAGGAGGTGACACGCTCAACGGCACTCGGGGGTGCGTTCGTCTTCGGCTGATAATTAGAATAAAGTGGGGTTATGTTGTACGAGCTCTGAGATAAATGTCCTATTCCTCAAGATTCCCCTCTTAACCCAGTGCCATTCAAGGGATGAAGAAAATTTTTCATTCCCCTATGTCTTGGGAAGTGACTCTATTTGCCGTTGAAAAAAATAAGGGAGGAACTGCTTTAACGAGGAACGCTCTATGTCGTCTTATCAGTTACCTAACGGTGTGTTGAAATTGAAAAAAAAAAAGAGAGTTCGCGATAGCAGTGCAGCGGTACGTTACGCTTGCGGGATTTCAAGTTTTGCAATTGCGATCGAAGATAACGAAATTCGGAATTCTCTATCGAGAGTTTGGACCCATGCTTAGGGAACAATAACCCAAACCTGAACCGCGTTTCTGCTTCTGCCTAAACACATTTCACGCAGGGAAGCTCGTATCTCGGACACGTTTACTGCTTAGAATATTACGAATCTTGTAGATCCTGACAAAATTCTCTCTCAGGATTTCAAGAGGTCGTAGACGGCAAAGTGGCTCGTCATCTCCTGGTTCATGCGTACGGATGTCTTATTGTTCGCATTATGTTCCTGGCTTATTGTCGCCTTTCACTGTGTCTGATATAAATTCACAGCGATATATCTCTCGGGGAGGGTTTCCACTTGTCGAGAGTTTCAGTGACAAACGCGTTACTCTCGAATATTTCACTGCCCTTGTCGCAGGATGATAAGATCAAATGGTGCAGCCGGTATTATTGTTATGGATGAAAAGAAAAAATTTAATTTAATATTTTGCCTTTATTTATTTATTACGTATGTTTAGGTATGCGTATGTATGTATATACGATATATTATAATAGGCTAAGAATCATAACGTTCACTATTTTGCAATAAACCATCGTGATTTATTCAGCTGTGCAGGTTGACCCTCCCCTTCTTGGTTGTTAAATCTGAAAACCAGCATCCTCCTCCACTTCCGCCAAGATCCTCCTCGTGAACCATTATGTGTTTCGTATTCATAGTCTGAGCGAAAATTGCTCCTAGAGCACAATAAAGGTTATACGAGCCATAAAGAAAGTTGAACCTACCTCGCCGATGTTTATTTAAGCACGGTAGAACCTGCAGTCTCTTTCTGTTTCATACGTCCATTGGTTTATGGACTTACCATGGGTTTAGTGGATAGTAGCACGGACACGAACCCAAGCTAAAGTGTTACCGACTGATATTCAGTGTTGGTAGTGTCACGGACGGAAGCGCTGCTGGTAATTGCTTACTCTCCTGCACTCTCTTGACTAAACGAGGAAGCTGTATGTCTGATTTTGACACTGTAGCTCAAACAGATTATTTTCGACTGAAAATCGATAATTGACTAATTTTGTTTACGACCATTCACAGAAATCGCGTATACGAAATGACAAAAGAGTGATAGTTTGGATAGGTCTTTTATGGTTGTTTACTTCAAAATTCTTAGTGAAAAATTATACGTACTTATGGGATTTTATGAATTATTAATATATCACGAGATAAATCATGTTACGTTCAAGGATCGTACCGATCTTGCGAACAGGTCCATACAGATTTTCGGTAATATCATGTAACCTCCATTCCAGTGTTACTCGCAGTCGGAAGAGAGAATCCCGAAGAAGCGATTGCGAGCAGCAGACTGTCGCGATAGTGAATATCCATTGAAACACAAAGTATGAATTATAATTGATAAAAAAAATCTACAAATCCAAAATTCCAGATCCTTTGCGGCTGCGGTGCACTCGATGGCACAGAAATATCGGAATCCATTTCTGCCACTATTCACTGCTGTCAAAAAGATCTCAGACTAAAATTCTTCGCCCCTAACATTGACATATGCGGAGTAACCGATCATCTCACGAAGGAACTGGATTCATGCGGAGTGCCAAGAAATGCCTTGGTGGAGGGTGCACGGTTAGCAAGATCAAAAATCAGCTCCCTATGCGAGTGCAAGGCTTGCGAAGCAGATGCACTGATAATCCCAGGTGGTTTCGGTGCAGCAAGAACCTTGTCAGTTTATCTCGATATTTTTTACCGTTGATTAATTAGCTAAGGAAATGACGTCAAGCCGATTTTGATTACCAGGAGCGACTTCGCATCGAAAGGCGAGGATTGCACGCTGCTGCCGGATCTCGAGAGGGTCATTGAGGAATTCAGTTGCGATAAAAAGCCAATCGGCACTATTTGCATCGCCGCGGCACTCGTGGCGAAGGTTCTTCAAGGAGTGAAAATCACTCTTGGCAAGGATAGTTAGTTTTTTCCTTTTTCACTAAATTCTTGACTGAAAGCCAACGTGAAATGGAAATGACTCTGCGTTGTTAACCGATCCGTTTCGACTTTAGAACCAAAGGAAATGTGGCCGTACGCTGCAGCCATACCGAAGGTTAAAAAAATGGGTGCGAAGATCGAGATGAAGGACGTGAGACAATTCACTCGTTGCAAGAAGTACAATGTCTTTAGTACACCCGCCTGGATGTACAAAGGGACATATAGCGATATTCACGAAGGAATTGGAAAGATGGTAACAGCTATGAAAAAAAGTATGAAGTGAATAGAAATTTTGGGACGATTATTGTTTTTAGTAATTTCCTCATTTTCATACTTACTGTTGAATAGGGGAACCACGGATTGAATGGTTGACAGCGTAGAATCTGAGATGAGAAATTTAATAACGAGGAATGAATTTAGGATCGAGTAGATTAAAAAAAAAATATAGTTTATTCATTTTTTTTTTTCGTGCCCCAGAGGTGGGGGAAAAGAAAGGAGCACACAATTTTTCTAGGATAGATATTTTTAGATGGGTGTTTTTTTTTAGTAAGCCTACTTCATGCTACAATAGTCAACAACAAATAATATAACAATTTTATGAAATCCGCGACAAGGTTGAGAGATTTATCTCCTTTTTTCTTAATATGATCGAAGCGCAACTTTGTCGTAGATTTCGTACAGGATCATCGATCTCGTCCTGCTGGAATTCAAGTACAATAATTTCCAGCATGATAAGACTGTACTCTGTGTTTCTGTTTTTTTTTTTTACTTTTTTCACTTATTTCCGATGATTCGCGAATAATTAATGTGGCCAGGTTTTCTTTGCTGCGGTTCAATGAAGTTTTGCTGGCGAGTCTATAGAGATATTGAGCGTTTACGAATTTCGTAAGAAGGAGTGATCGGTCGATTAAATAATCCGACAAATTAATTAAAGTAAATTAAAGAATTAACCAGTAATTATTGGAATCCCGCTAAAAGAAAGCCGACTCTGTTATAAATAATTTTGCAATATATTCAAGCGAACGTAAGATCAGTCGCTAATTCAACGTAACAAAATGACAAGAATAGCGAATTCGCAGTAATCGCAAAAAATTCACTTGCTCAATATGAAAAAGACAGGAGTTGCAATAAAAATGAATTGATAAAAAAAAAAACATGACAATACCTACAAGCGCGAGAGTATCCATGCATATATGGTAATTACGAAACCGTGAAATTAGCCAAGAATATTCCGTGTCCTCGTTACACATTCGCGTCATACGCGAAATGTCACAGGTGCGCGAATTATTTTGCAAATGGAATAGCGTCGCCAAGCGTTCTCGTGACGCCCGTGTCGCTTCTCGTCTCCATCGCACGTTTCCGGCCGAGTTCTGTGTCGAAATTTCGCTCTCTGTGTCTTCGTAGGATGATGACGCGTCAGACTTTGGTTCTGATCTGAGGGCCAGATTCTGTGGGAAGAGTCCCGAAGCGATGACCTAGCTTTACCCTAGCTCCACCCTACAGGACGCTCAGCTCAGTGCAAGCAAGGGTTCGACCGTGACACGTGATTTTCTTGCTTTGTCTTCCTGATACTTTTTCATCTTGAGCAGCTTCCGCTTTCCGTTGCTCAGCTTCTTCTGGGGCAGCTCGGTGGTCGTCATCTCGGACTCCTCTTCCAGCATCCTCAGAGTCTCTATGATGTTTCTAGGCTCCGTGATGCGACCCCTGGTACCATTCTTATTAGCATACACGACGGACAGATGAGAGAAACTGGATTTCGGAGGTGCCGTGATATCCGCGAAATCACGGAAATTCGCAAAAAAGTCACCACCTCTCACAGGCTGTGGCTTTGGATTTCTATAATAATTAGATCTGCCACGTGAATTGATCTCTTGGAAATAAGGGTTGTAGAGGGTCTCGTCTACGGTGTATTCATCATTCTCCTTCTCTTCAGGGTAGTAAGTGCCGCCACGTATGACGCCGAAGTTTCCAGAACCGAGAAGGGGATGAGGTTTGTCATTATTATTATTATCGCTGTTATCGGATGCTGCGGCTTGATAAGCATTGCGGTCCCGCTGAAAGTATCCGAGGAATCTGTTGGGTCTGTAGTGCTGCTGCTGCTGTTGTTCGTCGATCGGCAATCTGTGATTAGTGAAGAGCTCAGCGAACGAGGGGAAGAAATTTTGACTCTCAGATTCCAGACTCTTATCACTCAGATCTCCTTGCTGAGTAGTCTTGTCTGATTTCTCATCTTTGTCCTCGGAATTAATCTCATCTCCATCTTCCGTAGCTTTGACTTCCTTCGGTTCTTCCGCAGCATCCGCTGGACCAGCATCTTCCTTGTGTACCGTCTCAGCACCATCGGGCTCCATATACATGTCCGAGTCATCATATTCGTCTCCGTCGATCTCGGAAGCTGATGCTACAGAATCCTGCAAAGAAGAAGAAGCGCGTTCAGAAAAAAAAAGTTATTCAATTGACCGATAATATAATTTAAGAAAAATCTTATCTCATCCGAATATCCGTTAGGCAATTGACTCTTTGAATAATGATCTCGGTGAGAGGGGCAGTGTGAACGATCTACCCTAGACTTCTACTCGCCTTGACATTTAAGGCATCTTCGTGTATCCTAAACTGGCAAACATGTATGAATACGCGTATACACGCATTCACGCACTCCTAACTGTACCAATAATAATACAGAGATCAATTGCAACACAGTCCAAGACACGCCTAGCATTGTTACCGATATGTCAAAGCGGTACAGTGTGTACGAGAAATACTTTATAACCGTATCCTATAGTACTTTGCAAACCCACCACTACGGTATACGTTATTCAAATAGGTACGCGGCCCATTGTGAAAGCACCTTTCGAACTGGAACACCACACCGCTGGACACTCGTGATATTTGGTACCTGCGGCAGGTGTCTATTCTACCTGGCTATATCGTTTGCCTAATAACTATCAGATCATTCACCATTGGCTGACTAGTATTAGCTGGTATCTACTTCCCATTACTTTTTCGCGTGTCTCAATATGCTCGCGTATCAGTTCGGTATTCAGGCCGACCCTCCATAAATCGTTTTGGCATCGACTATCCAGCCCGAAGCCAGATGCATGTCGCGCTGGTGATAAATCAAGGTTTTCTGCTTAGTCGATCTTATAAAGGGGATGACAGTTTTCATGCTTAGAATGAAAGAAAGCACGAGGCGATAAGGAAGGGTATAAAACGTGGAAGGGATTAGGAATGTCGTTTCGTTTGGTTATCTGGTTAATTGACCGACCTCATATTGGTACGTTCGATATTAATCACAGGCGACGTTTGCTCGGTGTTATTTAGTTATTTAATGAGCGAAAGTGACTTTTGGTTGAAAATTTTATTATTTTTTTTGCCCCTCGAAATTTATTCCAAATTCGTTTAATCGTTGGGTGACGTTGATTGGTACTGTCACATTTTACTAGGGATGCTTGGTTAAGTGTGTTTTCTTGATTATTATATTAATACGTAACAGCGCATTTGCCGGGACTATTAAAGTCGAACGTTATTCCTTGGTACAAATTATATGTGAATTAAGGGCAATCAGTCTGCATTACTTGAATCGTGAAATACGGTAGAGTGTTTTGTGCAGGCAAATCATCATCTTGCGATTAGGTTAGGTTAGGTATGGAATAGATACATAGGATTGAGTTGTAACACGAACGTGGTAGCTCGGAGGGAAACGTGTTTCCCTTGGAGTTAAGACTTTTGTGTAAAAGTGTTCCATAATATCCCTAGATCCTAAGAAATTAATAAATGACCCCAGAGGATTTATTTACGATTGTGATTTGCCGATCGATCTAGTTGTCATTTATTATTATTTTTTTTCTATAATTTCTTTTTATTAATTCCGTGCACGAAATCATGACTGCCCTGTATAATTTCACTGGACTATGTTCTAAAGTCTATAATCTCATCACGACGTTCCGCATGATCGGTACTTCATGGCTAAAGCTTCCCTCACACTGTACCAAAGGATTCCATTGGCAAGGTTTCATAAACCTAATGGAATTTACTTTTTCCCATTAAAATTTTCAAATTCTTCCAGGTTTCTGAATTCCGTAGGAATGTTCATCCACAGTGCAAAAGATCCCTATGGTATGTCAGGAAGAACTTGAAATCTTTTAAGTATCTATGATTCTCGGTAGAAACGCCGCCTTAATACTTCCTCGAAGCTATTCACGTAGAACAATCTGGTACAGCGAGACTCTTGCGTAAAATCTTCCCATCGTTATTTCTCATCATTTTTCTCACCTCGTGACCGACTGCGTCCTCGGGAACCGGCGCTCCGTCTGAAACAAAGAAGAAGTTATACCGGTGAGACTATAGCTTAGTTCAGCTCAGTGGTTAAGCTCCGTACGTACGCAGACACCTTGATTGCAAAATGATAGCGTCATTAATATTCACGAGGACCAGTTTACCCTTTGCAAGCAGCGTTGAATCGTGTCCGCTGTAGACTGCAGGGTTTTTCGTAACTTGGAAAAATCAAGGATGCACTCAAGGATCGTTCGACCGATACCTGAACACGGTACCTGGGCCAAGATAAATTGTCGTAATTGAACAGGAACATTATCAAACGGAAAACCAGTCCATTTGTCATTGATTAATAGATGCTGTCAGGGTTACCTGGGATCTTGCAAAAATTATCCAGGTCCACCCGCGACCAGTCGTACCAACAGTTTCAATATCTGAGATACGAGTCCCACAGGACCTTTCAGGCTCGACGACCAAGATTGATACTGTCAATTCAACGTATACATATATCGTCGTCATCCAATCATTCTCTTAGATTCCTAATGAACAATGACAAACTGGGACGACATAGAGAGATTATATAGATTCATAAATATCTGCCAGTCACATTTCTTAGCACTTTTCCAGGGAAAAATTACTAAAAAACAAAAAAAAATTTCGCTAGGAATGCGACTCGAAATTAACGACTATTTTTCTCCCTAAAAACCGGCTGTAGATATATATAGTTATATACCTGTATCCACCCATTCATATCCTTGGAGTATATAAAACTTATATTTACGAAGCGTTAACGAAGAGGAGGACGTTTATTAATTAATAGTATATATTCCCAATGAATCGTACTAATTATCCAGACACTGCCATACGTATAATAAAATTAAATATCTCTGTAATCCACTATATATTAAGCGCTAAGGTGATCCTTTTCGCCAGTCAGTTTGACGATGCTGGAACGTTATTAATTAGTCCAAGTGAAGTCGGCCTTGTTAATTGGTTTAGGCGGGTCGTTCCATTGCCCGATTAATCACCGTGTATGACGGCTTTTTACCAGGAGAGAAAGTAAATTACATCCCTGACAACGGCATGCGTTTAGATAGACGTCCCGAGAGATTCTCGCTCTTTGGTATAAAGCCAAGTACACACGCACTACGAAGCTACGTACGTGCACCTGTCGTCGATAACTAAAGCGACGAAATATTTCCGCAATATTCTTTTAATTTCTCCTCTCGCAGCCAACAACGTTCCTAAGCTTCCTTCGTCCATAACCAATGCGCTCTACCTCATAACTGCCTTTTGATTTAGTTTCCTCTGGTTACCGAAAAAAAAGATAAGTAAAAAAAAAATAGAAATATCCTCAATGGACTTGTTAAAACCCCGGTACTGTCAGCGGTATTTCACTGCGCCAATTACCGTTGCAGCAGTAATGTGACTCCAGTCGGTAATTCGCTGGGGCGAAACTGCATTCTAGTAATTTATGGCTATAACTATCGCTTACGTCTCGATCCTCTTGACTGGTTCCTCGTATACATTTCGTAAAACTGTCATTATGACAAATGGGGTCTTTATCGCCAGCCAGGTCTGTCTACGTAAAATTGAAACAATTGACAATCCGATAAATCCTGTCACGTGACCCGGGATAAGAATTTCAAGGTTCGCTCGCGATACGATACTTTTGTCTTGCTCGTTACTCCCCGTTGACATCTTGAGTTCACGGTGTACCGAAGACTAGGTCATCCGTAACATCGACGTGTCATCGTTCGAGTTTTACATTCCCTTTCGATGATGGTTCCTTTTCTTGTATGGCTGCATAAATAGAATAGAAGATGACGTTGGTGGAGGGGTCTGAGGGGAGGAGGAGGAAACTGTTTAAGCTTCTTTATTATTAAATGCTAATTCATTGACTCGACCTCATTCCTCAATGACACTCACTGATGATTCTTCTGCTAACAATGATGCTGCTGATGGGAACCTGGGCTCCTTCGCATGACGAGTCATTTGCATTGTTTGAGGTTGATTCTCGTACGCGGGTGTAAATCTCGAACGTTGCTTCTTCGCGTTACGTGTCTCAGGACGAGTCTTGGAATTCGCGATAACAATGAGAGTCGGTTCGGATTGGGAATGAAAATTGGTACAAGGTAGACACGATTTTATGATTATTTTTAATCGTCGTCCTACTTTGAGATTTTTTAAATATGCTTAGCATTACTCATTGTGCTTTTTCTTTGAGGTACTCATGGGGAAATACATCCTCTGTTTGAATGCCAATAAAACGATATTCTTGGAATTAAAAAAAAATGTCAGGTGGTTATGGGACATTAAAATGTGAGGGGTCTCGGTTCTACCGAACGTGACTAACGAATTGACGTATTTTCACGGATGAAAAGATTTTTCGAGAATTCATCTATTCCGACATAAATAATGACGTTGTCGGTTTCATTATGTCTTTAGGTCTGCTTGATAAAACAGAATGATCTGTGGACAGAAAACGCTGTATATATATATAGTATTTCGACAGGAACTTCTGTATCCAGTAGTTGGTACCTGCGGGTACCCAGACTTGCGCAACGTTCTCTAGGTACCGCAACTCAGCTTTAAGTACCGCGTTGACAGTTGCTTTATTGCCTGAACGTGGATTCTGAATTCTTCGCAAAGTGTCACTAAGCGCTATTACCTACCGGTAGCCACAGCGCTCGAAAGTCCCACCAATGGTAGGTTGGTATTTTCGAGTGAAATTTATGTGGCAACTTCGTATCTTTTAATATAACGTGACAAAAGCTGTTGGATAGGATTGCTGATATTTTGCATTAATAATTTTTTGCACGCTCTCTTATTGTTCACCGACGACTTTGCAACTTGGCAATCAAGAGGGAACAATGAGCGAATACATCACCTACTCGTTTATGATAGCGAATTATGCAAAAGCTAGTGCTTGCCTTCTATACTCTCTTCCCGCAGGTAATTACGGCTCTTGCACAGTACCGTAGTTACGAACCCCTTTTAATTTTATAATACCGAGCTTACAGGGTACCTTGCGATTTTTCACTTTAAAATTTGCAAATTATTCGCCACGTCCAATCGGACCGATACGATGAAAAGATATAAAATCATGCTGAGCAATGCGTCAACAATGACTCGATCGGCCACGTTACAACACATGTGGCTCGTTAACGTACAAAGCGATGGGGATCTGTCCCCGATATATCCTGACGAATGTGTCCGATATACGTTATATATAAAAGAATAGAGTTAATAACGTTCGAAATACGCTGCCGATTAATTTCACGTATGCGGGCGAGCCAATTAAGTGCCGGTTGATCGTTATCGGGTATGTAACTTTGCAGTTTGTACTTTCAGATAAAAATTACCAGCTGAATGTATCAAGGTCTTACGATTATCGTTATCTAATGGCACGAGGTCGTAGTTATCCCTATTGTATTGTAAGAAAATATAATAAATGACCCTTACGCCCGATGGTGCCTAAGGGTTCGATTTCAGGTTCGATTTAGTAATCGATGAATCGGCCTGCTGCGATCGATTGAAAAGTAATGAACGGGTGGCTGTTCACGGTAATTTATTCATTAGGTATTATTGTGATTGAATTAGAGGTAAAATAAAAAGTAACGAGTACCGTTCCGCACTTAGAATCCCATATTGGATTACCAGATGGAAATTGTAATGGAACGTAGGACATTATAACGGATCGCGTGATTATTTATACACGGCTGTCCACTTTGAAATTATAATGCACCGAGGAACAACGTAATCAAACGCTGAGTCGATTATCAATTTACCAGCGTTTTAACATCCGAACAAGGAAACGATTTGGATTTATTCAAGAGCGATGGATTCGAATTAGATTTTATACTTCATTGGGATAAATTTGTTTTCTTGAACGTATGTATCTCATTAGTACATATAATAGTACAGTGCACGCAGCATAGTAACATAGTCATAAACAAGAGCAGCCTTTTCACCTGTGGAACGGGCTTTCAAAGGAATGTGCAACAGGTGCATTGCGGATTAGTAACAATTTTCGATTTCTTCGAATTAATCGATCTTGTTTATGTTTCGCAATTATTATGAATTGGTATGAGAATAATTTGAGAAAATAAATTTCGAGATAAGGGTACTCTATGTCTTTCTTTTGGAAGCTGTTGGACGTGTCGGTGCCAAAGATCACAGGCTGGATCAAACTTTCTTACGACTTCAGGAAGTGATCACTTAGCTGATTGATGCATCAATATCGTTAATGAGACAAGCCCTCGTGACTTGGAAAGTCTTTACTATTCAAATGGACAGTTAATATACGCAAAACGTGTGGCTTGGGATACGCATATATGCGTTGATGAACGTCATAACTAGCGCATAAAAAAAACATGTACAACGTTACAGGTTGTATAATCTCCTTTAACGGTACAAAATGTTCTTGTACTGGCTTGCGAATTAATTGTACGGCGCCTCCGAGACTTATTCACTGTTTGAATCTGCTTATGTTGCTAAAATGAAAGTCTTATGAATACTTGTGGTTACTCGCGAGCGTAGGTGTGAGAGATTCGCCACACCTTGTTGAAGGAAGTATATATATATATATTGAAGAAAGGATAACATCCTATGTCAGTTAAAATATTCCATGAGAGTGAAAGCATTTTGTACCCTGCCATGGATACACTTGAACAACAAGCATTATATATATATATATATACGAAGACCTCGGCTTGACCTAAGACAAGCTCCCCGGCATTTTTAGTCGTTGAGAACCAGTCTCTGGGACAGGACCCAAGGGAGAACGCTGAATCAACGATCAAGGACATCCGGATAGGAGAAAAACCCATAAAACAATGTCTAATCCGATTTTTACGTGAAATTCATAATTTATTATGAAATATTCAAAAAATTTTTTGGGTTACTTGTAGTTCTTTTATCGACTTAAAAACCCTTTGTCGTCGAAAAAAATATGTTCACCGAGACTCTTACTCTTGGCCGGGGGGCTCAGATATAGGCGTTGCGGACCTGGGGCGGACACTGACCCTAATACCTTGGGCATCAATTTCTTTAGAACTGTGTATACGTATACTATAGGTACAGTTTAATTACGTGTCCTGTCGAAGTCATGCAAACACAACTGACCCAGATCGACGCCACGGACGTCGATGCTAGTCCCAGGAGTCTGGTGATCGGCGATCGTGAATGCTGTAGCTCTGGTCGTTGTTGGCTCTCGATTGGCCTTGGCAATGTAGAGTGTGGTTGTTTCAACAGAACGGATCGCGATCCGCTCCGGGCAGAGAGAAGTTCGAACGGGTTCGATGGCACTTTCACGACCATAACTATAATTATCTCGACACTCTCCAGAGCGAACTAGTTTTTGAACTAACAAAGTTCCCTTTCGTGTTGCTTGCTCGGATATAGTGGCTATAATTATAATTACATATTATATATATATATACGTGTGTATAAGGCAAGAATTAGGTGGACAGGTTTGTATCTCTTGGGAAAGAGTCAAAGCTTCGAAAATGATTAAGCGACCTTGGCGAATACAATGGCTTATGGACCTTGTAGTAAAAAAAAAAGTTTGAAATTGAGAAAGAAAGTGCGGGACAGGTTTTCTCGAGATTTATAGAAACTTTTCTATTGTTTTCAGAACAAAAAGTTTACTGCACAATCAGCTTGCGTGGAGAACGTGACAGTGTGTGAGTAACGAGATAGTAAAATTTTCACGTAGTTCCATACATATTCAATATATTAGTATATAAGCAATTTTTTTATGTTTACCTAATATTTTCTATATTTATACAAACAATTTGATCTTTTTCGTATTTTCGTATTTTTGCTTTTTTCAGATAACTATTTCGATCTTAAAAATCCCACCATCCTTATCAAAGATAACACAGTACTACGAGTTCATGGACCGTAATGTAAAAAAAAAAAGATACAATTATTTTTCTTCCATTCCGAGAACAATGAGCGCGTAGTAAAGTAATAAAATATATCTGGTGTCCAAGTGTTACGACTCTTTTTACGCCAGCCTCTATTGTTATGTATCACTGAACAATCGAGCCACTCTAAATTGAATCGGTAGACCAAATGTAAATACTTTTTGTTAAAGCATTGTCCAAACATCGCAAGTCGCCCACGAGAAATCTCTTGATTTACTTCATCCGAGAACGCGACAATGGGTCCCCATTCAGATAGCCAGTACGTGCGGATATGTGACATTGCTTTGCAAAATCACAGCTCTAGCATTAGATCAATTGCGACACCGGTTGACCATATATGATCAACATTTATATCAATTAAGAGCATTTACTCGGATCGTCCTTCGATCAAATGGGCGTGGTATCGTTATACCGATCTGTTATGTTCTTGAGGCTGCAGACGTTGAAAAAAATGCATTCCCATGGATCACATATGATTAGTGCATCTATATTTATTGACGATATATATATACATATATACAATCAACGAGGACTTCGTGATTCTGCAAATATCCATGAGATCGGGATCGGTATTGAGATCGGTTAAGTCAGATACTAAGATGCAGCTGATGCTGTTTGTACTTGGCGCTGCTTCCTCGTGAGGAAATCTTTAACGTCGGAGATGCACGTTGCATATGACTTTCTCTGAGTGTTTCTGCGAGAGAAAACAATTTCCGGGTGGGATTAAATTAGAGTTATAATAGACGTACCCGGCGAGGAATCGTTTAGTCGTGGTTTCTTCAATTTACTCTCTGTTCTTCCGATATGAATGGATTCGTATAGACGACGAGAAGCTTCTTAGAATTCGTGATCACTTCAAACCATGATAGGTATCGTATGCTGCATGCAGTGGGATGCGCTTTCTTTTCGGAAGATAAAAAAAATGTCTTGATAATAATTCATAGAAGGGTATGGAATTTCTTCATAACCCAATATCACGAATCGATCGTCATGATCGCGAGTGATCGTTACTGCACGTGTATGGATCACGAATTTACGATATATCGAATGGTTCGTAAAAGTGCATAAGGAATTGCATTGTCAACCGTGAAAGATTGCATAATACCGTGATTATAGACATCTCGAAAACTGATGGAAATTCAAAATTACGTAACAGCATCTACCTTTATCTCGATCTCTATAATTATGAAATAACGGATACAAATTTTACGGATGCATCTTACGACGTTTTCTTGCATTGGCAAAAGCTATTCAATTTTCTTTTTCTCTGAAATTGATTATAAGGATCTTGGATTCAATTTGCCTTTCTTCTGTTCGTATTATTTTCTCCGTATACAAGATCGACGAGACACTCGAGATCGTAATAAAGAATAAATATGCGCACGGCGCAAGGACGTCGCATCCTTGTTACCGTTTTCTTCCTAGATAGGTGCAGCCAGGATCTGGAATGCTTTAATCACCGTCGGCGCAAGGACATTGGGATCATTAATGTGGCTTAAGATCCAATTAGATTCACAGTAGGATGATTGTACTCGATTCTAGTTCAACTTCTTCGAATAGTCTATTAGTCCAAGGCGAATGATCTTCAGTCATCAGAGCCGGAAGTTCTTAACGAGTAAATATCCATATTTCACATCAAAATGTTAAAGCAGTCCTTATCAGAGATCATGATATCAATAATTAATCCTTTTATTAAAATCACCGCCGTGTCCCCTCCCCATAACTCATTGTAATAAAAATCTCCATAAACACTGATAAATTGCAAAATTTATTCGCAAGGACCTTCGTTCAATATCAATGCACTTTATTTACTGACTGCACTATAAGCATGCGAAACTATCCCGAGGGTCTGAGTCAGTTGCGTATAGGTATAGGCATACGTATATCCCGCACATATGCATCTACAACATTGGCTACTGTTATTCCCATGGGATTGTCCATATAGGAACAGTCGACATACTTTAACGTAGATCGATGAGAATCATCGTAGATCATTCGATGATAATGTATAGTACATAGGCAAGGCAGCTACTCTGTCGAAGTTGATATACGCGCTTACATACGTGGGTATGTAACTGCGTAGGCGATGCATCAGACTGCACGTGGATGACGTCAAGGGGGGTTGATACCTATCACGTGATATCATACATGCGTGAACTCGAGAGCCTTGGCACCCATATGCTATCCATTGTACCGCATGTGTGTACGCACATGTACTACTCCACGCACTTATCACCGCGTTCATCCAGCATCTCGGTACAGCAATTGCATCTAGTTGCAGGTTCGTTGAATTTGCAATGATCATAAAAATTTGTCGATTGATCATAAAATTGCACCCATGGAAATGCATTTGATGAATGCACTGGATGGATGGTTTTCTAGCTACATGTGTGGCTTTAACGATGATCTGAAAATCGATGGAGATGCTGCAACGAAGTGGAATTTTATCAAGAGCAATGCAGTTTTACGTCACCGGACTGTTTGCCATGCACTTCGGATGCACTGTAATGACTTCGTACGCGAGTGCTTCGAAAAGTCATTGGTACACACATGACTAGACGTTAACGTAATTGAATTGCGACTTTACGGAACTTCAGGTGACTTCGCAATAATTGCATCCATACAACAATCCCTTCTAGGATGCACCGAGGACGTATGATTCTATTGCCACATTCTCCGACTATACTTGCAGTATGTTGGATGCACTTTTCATCGGCGGATTCAGTCGGTGACTTTGAGGAGCATTTAATATCGTCGTTGACGTTAATCTTCCTATATATGAATCCGGCTTTATAATTTAATCGACTGCGTTACTTCAGTCTTTCGGGTATTAATCACGTATCTTAGTGTATTAGAACCGTTTAAGCTATTTCTCTTGGCAGTTATTTCATAGCAATTTCGAGATCGACACGGCGTCTCTACTGCCTCAGACTATTGCGCTAGAAGGTGACTCGTAATTTACGATAAAATTTCTAGTTTTTACTTTTCTACCACCACAACACTATTTCTCACTTAAAACAGGTACTCGTGTACTGCTAATGGGGTAAAGGCTAACGAAGAAAATTTTTCTTAAAATTTATTTATTTTTTTCACTTTCTTTATACCTTCATCCCGACCCAGTATTTGCTCTGCCTGCATTACGAGCAACGTGAAAATCAATCCACTTTCACGGCGCACGCTGCTTTGCAGTGCTAAAATTTTCTTTATTACTGTAAAAACATATAGAGCGCATTATACCACAGGACAATCGCATTCCGTTTTCATAGGCGTCTCCAATAATTTCGCGATCCTTTAACAGCCGTGCTAATGGCATTCAAATAATATTCATATCAACAAATAGTTTCTATCGTATGTGACTTTAATTCTTGACTTATTTGGCGAGCTGATTCTCCGTAATTATATATATACACGAGAAAGCCTTTCTTTCCTGGATGTTAGGTATAACGAGCGCGATCACAATCGCTTCTACTCATTAGCACACCAGGGCATGTTTCAAATCAGATTTGCCGTCGAGATATCATTGGATATTAAATGGCCACGGTGTTCCGGTTCTGTATACAAGTATTATGGCGATGCTCGATGTTCGTCTAACGTTAGCAATGGTATTTACAAGTTAATCTGAGATCAGGTACGTTAAGTCGAAAGTATACTTTCAGCTGTCCTATCAATGGCTATCAATCGAAACGCGTCGGCACAATAATTTTGAGTTGAGTAAGAAAGCATTCCTTCTAAATTCGAAAGTCAATAAAAAATTATACACGCTTCTCTATAATACTTTTTATTATGAACAACTCCAAAACTACGATCCGACCAAAGTGACAAAATACCGAAAAGAAAAGAAAGTCCCTAGGAAATTCAAACTCAATCCAGTATAACAGTCCTATTCCGTATATAGAAACGACACTATACGATTAGCATAAGTCGCCGCGAGATAATCTATGTAAACTTATGGACGGAGAGTGAAATCCCATAGAGAGTGAACAACAAACAATTCGTTAGATATCTGAACAGCTAGCAGCTATATAGTCACTCAAGTCGTTTACGCCAATGCAAGTAAATAAATACAGTCTAGAGTGCATAAAACCCATACCGAATATATTTAGCCTCTTTTACAAATCATGTAAACACGATGTAAACACAATACCATTACCATGTAAAATCGATTTAGAAAGTAATGGCGACCAGAAATTACCGATCGATGGGCGGTAGCCCCCAGCCGTCACTGTCATAATCGTTTACTCGACGTGAAACTTTTTTTCCTGGACGATTCAAGCATTTTAACGTATAAGGAATGAAAGTGACTATTAATTTTCGATGCTGTAAGATGATGCCTTAATTATCATTGGCAACGACCTTTTTTTCTTTTGTAGTACTAGGCCAGGCGTTAATTCTCAATACTTCTCATACATTCGCAAACTTCGGAAGCGGGAAGAACTCCGACATGAATCTGAGTCCAGTTATGGCTCGAGGGTATACACAAAAGCAGTTCCTGTTCGATATAACTTTCATAGTTCAATTCTTATGAGATTTCTTGTCGATTCTGACTAACGACTTCCCCATAAATTCCGCGGTTCAGGTAACGACTACTGTATAGATTACTTTCGAGGAAGCCGTCCTTTCTCCACGAAGAAAAATATTTATGTAAACTCCAAAAAATTCAATGATCCTCGCGCCGCTAATATTTCAGTGCCATAGGCGTAGTAGCATATTTTTTTTCCATGGTGAAGCGACTGGAGTATACTCTAACGCTGAAGTAGCGTTGGGACTGGCGTGACGAGAAGTTATTCAATTTCTTTGTATATACATATAAATTACTGTAAGCTCTTGACTCGTGTAACTTTGCATGCATCTACGCAGCCAAATCTGCGGATGAGTAATGTCTCTGAGATCGAGTGAAAGATATTCCCGTCCTACCGGCTCCGGAGAAAGTAGTCGGTCCACTCGTACTTGCTCTTTGTAGGACTTGCTTGCTCATCCCGGCCTGTACTACCATAAGCTTCTATAGTGTAATGCTGTATTACATTATTATCCGAAATCGGATGCCGGTCATTGAGCAACTGTCAAGTTCTCGAAATTGCGTGTAAGAGCGGCGGATATCAATCGACTACCCAGTTAGTTCTTGTTTGCCGGTGGATACTGTAGAAAGTTTTTTTACACGTTAAACTAGTAAGAGCCGCGTTTCGATTGTGTGGATGAGTTACGTTCACTGAAATCTCTTGACAATCACACAGGACAATGAAAGCCAATTTGTCGCCTTGCTCAACTGCTTTTTGATGAATGTGATACGCGGACGTGATATATATATATTTTTTTTATTTCTCTTTTAAGTTGGTACAGGCCGAACTCGGTGACGATGACGGGCGAAGAATGGCGATGACGGTGCGACTACGGGAAACTTCCTGGTGCATTTTCACGTGATGACAATGGAGGAAAGTGAGTTGAAAGAAAAAATATTCATTTTAATAAATATAAGTTTCTATACACTTGGATTTGTGATTTTTAATAACGCAAGAGTTTCTGAAGTAAGTTATTTCGGGTAAAAGAAAAAAAAAAATCGGAAACCGCGGTTGAGAACCATTTAGCTTAGCCCGGAGAACGTGCCCGGAACCAGTCTTTGGAAGTGGTAGCGAACTAAAAGACGGAACACGACGCCTGCGGTTACTCGATCATTTTCAATGATTCTGTTTGTTCCTGTGAATGGAGCATAAAGAACGATTTCGAAGAGTCTCGTGGGTTTTTGAACCTTTCTTTTTTTTCCTCTTTGTATCACCCTGTGGGACTTTCTCCGCTTGATGTATGCCAGGACCCTTGCTCCCTCTCTATTTAATCCTCGCTACGTACACCTTTGGTAAATGAGATCAGTTTATATCGCGTTATATAGATATATCGCTCTAGGTGGTCCAGGAGATCGTTTCGCGATCTACAATCTTGACGATCTTGTAATTCCTCGAAGGGGTCTATATTATATATACTTTTTCTTTATTTTTCCAATCTAATCACACTCAGACCTGTCGCTCCTGATAAAATGGCTATAGCGATACTGGACACCTTGACAGATAATGTTTCGCATACCATTTTCGCTATCTTTTCCGTCACGGAATGTTGTTGTATTGTGAAAAAAAAAATTTCGATCATCCATCTTAGTTCCCTTTCTCCGGATATAATTATCGCTATTTTTATTTTTCAATTTTTTTCTCACTTCCTTACTTTTACCTATATCCATCTTGTACATGCTTCCGAAACACGTTTTGATCTTTCGTGTATGTCAGTTTCGCCGAATGATTACAAATAGAACTTGACACATTAGGCAGAAAAAAGCCAAACCTCTCCTTAGCCATTTTCATCGGAGGATTCAGACTTGGCGCGAACGATACACACATGATCCTGACATAAGGTGACAAGAGGTGCGATTCGTTACTTCATCGTCTCTCTACTTAAAAGGGCCGAGATATGAGGAACTGGCTTCTCGTCGATTATACGGGAATCTATCTGTTTTTTGCTATTGGCTTAGAGCTCGCCGAAGAAAAATGCGGTCCCGCTCGTTGAATTACCGTAGGATCGAACGTATTAAGTCAGACCCGTCTTGCAAAAGCCTGGAAACGAAACGTGCTCCGAATGAATCTTACTTTAGCAGCACCCACTATATGCACGTAGACTATATAGTTGCATAAAGTACGTAGGTACCAATGCACTACGTGTACCGGTGAACGCATGCCGTTAGACCGCCTTAAAATAAGCCGGCAATTAAGTAGTCGTTCTCGGAGTTGCGATAGGACCGAGATAGCGTATAAAAAAAAAGAGAGAGATAAAAACTAGTAAAAATGGTCACATTAGGAAAAGTTGCAATTTTTTTTTTACGGCGAAAAAACAATCTTTTCATTGATCGGATATTTCTAAATTATATAGGCAGCAATTTTAGTGTATGACTGGTGTGAAATTTATCGTTTGACTGTATCGCGAGACTAGTCATTTTTGCACGGTGGGTGGCAACATTATTTTCAGGAATAACGATCGATATATAAGCGTACCGTGGGCAAACGATAATCCTTTATAGTTTCGCCAACAATGTATAAAGCAATAAGGTAAAATGGTACTATCGTTAAAACCCGGTGTGGCGTAAAATGAATTTTTTTTTTTATTCTTACCTTTCTTTCTGTTTCACTTTTATTCCAAAGCAGCCTGGTACTAACATTGCGATCGGTTACGGTACCCCAAGCGAACGGGGTGTTGGATATAAATCATAATTGATTGTTTGGCGTTTCTTGACAACGCTCCTGGCGTCTCGGGCATTCTGGGCAAAATAAACGACGCCGAATGAAATTCACAGTGAACGTCGAAACAGGTGCACGCGGTGACTTACTTGACGCGAGGAGAATGTCGTTCCACCGAATTTTACCTTTTACAAACTGTGAACAACCTCAGGCACGACCTTACCACGCCGAAGAGCTGCGATTCTCTGCCGTGTAAAACGGTGGCCTACGTGCGTAACGTTAATTGACACGAGAATAAAAAAAGTGCACTCGAGTATCCAAAATTTACATCGATTCGATAGCGGTAAATTAATGAAAACCGTTATTAAGTGACGAAGCCAAGAAAAGGAAGGTAGATCGAGGAAATCGAATTTTTGATAAAAATCACGAAATCGCTTGACATTGATAAAGCGTATATGATACTTTTTTTTGGAAATTCTCATTCGCTTCGTTTTTCGTGACGACCGCGAGTCCGAGGAAGACATTAAATTTCTTAACTTCAAAATGCATCGAATCGACCGCCGGATCCATCCACTTCCGATGACATAATCGAATTAAAAATTTCCCGCCGTTTTTCAAACCTATCGCGGCCGTTCTTTATAAAAGTGTCAAGACGTGGCCGGTAACGGCCCTCTGAGCCAAAGAAATGTCGTACTATCTCCTCGGTCGTGAAAGCAGCCTATTTTTTGCCCGATTAATACCAGAACCGATGGCACCGCCGAAAAGTAGATTAATTGACAAAAAAGTAAATTAATAAACAAAACCTGGATTGCGTAAACCGATAGAAATAAAACTACAATGCACTCGGGGGTCCCGCTAATGACTTCACGTAATTGACAAAAAGTTCGACCAGCCCGTTGGCGCTTATCGATCAATATATTTTTTATCAAACTTATTTGCCTTTTCACAGGAAGAGCATTGATTTTTATCAGGCTTCGCCACGGGTATCAAGTATTTGCACAGTGGTGCCAACATAACAAACTGTTATAACGAATAATCAATTTTCTCGAGTATCCAGCAAGAAGCTGTCTCTGTCAACATCCAGCAGAGAGGCTTCTGGTTACCTCTTCTTTTCTTTTTTTCATATTGAGATTTATAGATTGTTTTAAAATTCCAACAAAAAAAAAACCGGTGGCCGATTCTCTCTAGGTGGAACGATTCTCACTGACCTCGCGAATGTTCGTTGAATCTCAACAGCCTCGCTCTGATTTATGTTCATTTTTCTTGACTTCTCTTTTTCTCTGCATCATGCACCGCGTTTCTTGTACGTTGCATATGTTTATGCAATAGCTTCGTGACATCTTGTTACATATGAACGTTCAATTACTATCTGTGCTCCGTGGAACGGATGCCTTTGAATTATTACTATTGTCGATCACGTCTAAACGGTCTTCGCTCGGTAAGAATCTGTCGATCGTTTCTTGTCGATACTTGCGGAAGAATCGTTAAAGGGGCTCGGTGAAAAAGTACGTGAATTATGAGCGTTCGCATGGCAATTATAAAAGACTATTACCTTGTTTACATAAATCTTAAGTTGAAGGAACTGTTATGTGTATACATATACGTATGTAAATTCGTGACACTAGGGATATCGAAATGTAATTCCATTATCAATTATTTATTAATCGATTTGACGAATATCCGATTATATGAATATTATTTGATTTATTACGATTTTAAAAATGGCGATATCGACGACTGGTACCTGCGAGTCGATTTATTATAATTTTTTTTTAAAGTTTCTCTTTCCTTAAATTTTTTCTTAATTTCCTTTCTCACGGCCGAGATGATCGCCTTTTTCATATTTATAAACTGCCGCGATTTATCTCTGCAAGCTTCAATGATCTCGTACAATACCGATCAATTTTTCTTCAACTTTCCAAGCATGGAATCCACGACAATCGCAACTTTCATATATCCTACTTCCTTGTCGCTTAATTGCGCACAGCCTTTCGCACTGGAATTATATTTCTTTCGACAAAAAAGAAAAACGGCCACGTCATAAATCAACCGACTGCGCGTTTCCTGGATTTTTGGCATTTTCATACGTGCGAAACGCACAATCAAAAGGCACGTCGAACCAATCGTAATTACTCTTCGGGGCAAAACTTTCCCCACCGTTTACGATACTATTGAGCTAAATCCAAATAGAAGTTTCACTATCAGAAAAAAGCTGCACTTAACAATGAAAATCGCTGTATACGAACCGTTCAAGAACCCTGTCACGGCTTTGACCAACGATTTTAATGCTAATCAGCTATAGCTACCTTGTTTCTAATCCAAGACCACTAACTTCATTTATATGCACGCAAGGATGCACTTTCTACGACTCTCTCTCTCTCTCTCTCTCTCTCTCTCTACGCGTCGCTGCACCAGATGGAATATCCACATCGTGAAAACGTTACTCCGTTCGAGCATCATATTCTGATTGCACCGATCGATCTGCCTACATGGAAACATTAAATAAGTCAAGTGCTCTCGGTCACAATTTTTCCTCCCAGACTTTTTTTCCCGAACCACATAAAACCGGCAGCGTAAAATATATGCAGCTAGCATTGTAATGCTTTAAAGTAAAATCGGTTACATTACGTATGTACACATGGTGAGAGCGATGCGCGCATATATAATAGCGCGTAGCGCAACAAATTTCTGGAATCGGATCGCGAAACTCGGAGTTTCCATAAATAGGGTATGTATATATGTATATACACGAGCACGTGAAGTAATAAATGATACTATACGTTACATGAGTGAACAGGGCGGAACCATTTCGATTTCTCGTTATACCGATTTATCGCGTTTCAGTAAGTCGATTTACAAAACGAAACCGTATAAATTTTGCGAAATATCCGACCATCTTAAATTACCATAGGCTACTCATCGTGGAGTCTGACGAACGACAGTGGAAAACACGTCTCTCCTGTCGTCAGATGATATCGCTGGTAGCAAGTCAGGGAAAGATAGATAGTCATCTCGATGACTATTAATGGCGAATTAATGGGAGAGTTGTCGTAGATATACGGAAGCGATTCTGGACGTAGGTTTACCTTGATACTTAATTGGTTCTTCGACAGGGGATGATTTTTGTTTGATTCTTACCTGAAACAGAAAGTAAGTTACGGTTAAAGATTATTACATTTTATTGATCGTTAATTAAAATTTCTATTATTTTACAGTGCAAAA